TATATTAGTTGCTATTATGTTGGCGGACAATTAGCTTTTTTGCATTAATTATTGTCACGGGGAAATATATTAATCGATTCGTTTTAAAATTGTATTAAAGCCTTGTAAGGGAAAAATACACATAATGTCAATAGTGAGTTTACGTCAAGCTCATTACTGTAATTTTTTATATGCACAATTCAAAATGACTTGTTTCGGAAGAGAAATGATTAGTTCATTGCTTGCGGATAAGCGAATAAGCTATTATTATAGTTATTAGTCCTGTAAATTAAATTGCCCCTCGAAACTACATCTATATTATATGAGTATTTTATGCAAATTAACGAAGTCTCAATTAGCGAAAACTAGACACAATATACATACTTAACTACACTGGTTGAGTGGTACTATAGTGGTACTTATAGTTGGTTGCAAGTATACGCCCTCCTTACTGTTACACAACTAATATTATTATTATTATATTCGATATTAATAAGACTGTTTAATATGTAAAACAATTTTACGCAGCGGTTTCAGGTATGTTATAATGAAACCAATATACATTTCCGGGTTAGTATTGAAGTAAAAAAAAAAAATGTCTATAATCTACCATAGTGTTATTATTATTCACAAATAAACCATACGCATTCTGCGTTATTTGAAACGCATTTTGTTGATTATTTAAATTTAAGGTTTTTCCCTTTTATATTGCAGTGTTCCGGCCGGCTAGATTTTCCTTGAAATTTAATCAAAGGTTAATCTCGCATAAGAGGATTTTGTTTTATGCCGAGACTGAATCGGAAAGCGTAGAAAGTAAAACAATTTTAATAATAATTATTATTCTTAAATAGGCAATTGCGTTACAAACGAAACGTACGAATTTTGCATTTTAGAAATAAATTCCTTTGTGTGGTAAACCAATGGTCGATCTAGGCGTAGTTTATAATATGTTTACCTGCTGGATATTATGTATGCAGTAAACTGTCAAAGCCGACCTGGCCATGTCCCTTTCATCCGGATGCGGTGCCGTCCATTTAATGTATAATTATACACTCGGAATGACCACAAGTGTACATTTTGTGGAACGCCAACCGACCCGGACGATTATTATTATCGAAATAAATTGACTTTGCCCAAGTCCACGCCAGTGTGATGTTGATGAACATTGCTATCATTGGTTAGTACAACTACTACTCACTGGGAACACAAAACAACAGACACTCGCCCTAATGTATTTTCCATAAAAACAAAAAAAAAGATAATAAAATAAATGCGATATGTACACCGTCGGGTTTAAACGGGTGTATACATATTATATTATTAGAGTTTTCAATATTTTGCACGAACCCCAAGAGAAAAAGTAGGCATACAGTGTGCATATAATAATATTATACAATCGTGTCATTCGATAACGTCACGTCACGTCACGTGCGCGACCATCACACAACATATACATCACGTATGCCATAAACAACGTCAATCCAGTTGATGTGTTTATTGTTTTTTCGTTTTCACCCTTTCAGAGTAGGTACTATCCGTATCCGTAAGTACTCGTATGAGCTGTCGAGGATAGGGTTCGACCGGTTGTTTTTTTTTTTTTACTTTTAACACTACCCACGATTTAATATCCAAATTTCCTTATGGTCGTATATAACATCTCAGGAAAATACCAATTACATCATTTTTATTCCTTCTGATTAAATTAATGTTCAATATATTTATGACGTTAATGCTTAATTTAATTTACTATTTTGTTGTTGTTCAAAGGTCTTTTGAATTTCATTCGAGTTTATAGAAGTGGGTATTGCACGTCCAGACGTTATTTATTAGGATGAAAACAGATTGGAAACTTAAAAAATATGGCGAGGGAATGGAAAGAAGTTTGATGGCTAAAAGCGTCCGGTCAAGGCGTTACGACCATTTTCTCGGGCAATTTTTCAATGTCTTATGATGAACGAACGCGTGAAAATGGGGTTTTCGGTCATTTTATCTGTAAGATATTCTTATTTCTTTACTTGTACAAAAATAACTAACAAATTTCTTTTGAGTTAATGTAACGCCGAACACAAGCTAATTAGGTCTATTGTCATTTGGACAACCATACGTTTATTTAGTACTTCTGCCATATTATGCATCTGCAGTTTACCACTGGCAATAAACATTGAAAATAAAAATAATAGATAAATGATTAAAAATGATTTAATTGTATTTTCTATTTGAATTTGATTACTTGTGACTTTACAATTGAAATTTAGATCTTTATCTACCCTTTTGTAGTTAGTAGAATTTTAAGTATAATATTATTGTCATTGTGGCACTTTGCCTTTGTTTTTTGACCCACTAACAAGATTGTCTTAAGAATGGTCATTATTTCCAGTCGTATGGACTTGCTTGTCTGGAAAGCCACAAACAAGTTTAGATATGAATGATTTGGCTCCATCCGGCAACGCGTTGGAGGCATTTATAAGACAAAAAGTTTGGTTCGATGTTGAAAAGTAGTACGACAGAATGCATGAATTAATTGTAAAATAATAATATAATCTGTACCAAGAATGAATGAATACGGAGTTTCTGTATGAACATCACATTCAGTGTGTATTATATTGTTTGTCGCGTTTAATGACATTTCAGATCTATTAAAACGACATTACAGAGTAGGAACGTCGAGATAAGTTATGAAACTTATTTGCATAATCAAGTATATTGTGTAAAACGTAATCAAGTTTACGGTGTTTGCCTATATAGTAGCGTTACCACAGTCCTATATACATTTTTTTTTTTTTTTTGGTTCTTCTACTAAATTAGCGAACAGATTTATTTATAAATACAAATGTACATCATTGATTGCTTGATCTCATTGATGTTTGCTGACTACAGTTATTACAGTTTACATGTAACTATAAAACATTAATGATACAGTGAAGCTTGTTTGAGTGTGCTCTGTTATACTTCATAGTAAACTTACCGAAAGTGTGCTTGTATTGTATATTTAATGTAAAAATGTATAAACAATGGGGGCACACTTATCGTCGAGAAAAAATAGAACTGTGTTTGAGGCCATTACTTGCTACCGCTAACTGTCGGTTTCCCGAATAAGACAACGAGATTGGTTAGTGCCAGCAACCAGGTTAATATGCACGTAGACTTCTTTATAGGACAATAACTTGTGTTAACAGGCTTTACCACACCCGTCCAGGGTAGTAGTATATTGGACGTTTGGTGATGTGACCGAATAACGCAAACGACCAAGTGTTTGATTAGATGGGTATGGCGGTATAATATTCATAATTATGGTATTCAGATTTGAAAGAAATTGACGGAAATAATTATAAATCATTTACTAAATATCATTACGTCGACCGGAAAATTAGGCTGCAGTTTGCTGGTTTACATGTAATGTGTTATTTAATATTAAACTGCTGTTATATACTGTTTGTTATTGTACATCCATTCATTATTCTATCCAGGATAGACTACAAAAAAAAAAAAAAAATAGACTGATTCATTATTTAATACGAGAAGAGGTACACTCTATATAATATGCAGGTACTAGCGTTTGTTTTTGTCGACGAATTGGGCAATTTCCAAAATTAGATAAACATTCTTGTAGTGTTATATCGTCCAATATCCATTCAATATGTTTTTACTAACGACCAAAGATCCGATCTTTGCAAATTCTCAGTTTAAAACAGTAACGAGGAAACGTGATCACTATAAAAACGAGCAGCCAGTTAGTTTCACTGGACAGTACCTGTAAAAAAATAACAAGATTAATTTCAAACCAATAAAATAAAATACAATAGTTCTTATTTATGTCGAAGTTTTGTGGTTGAAATTAAATTATTTGTTTATTCCATGTTTGACAGTACAATTTCTAATTCTTAATGAAACCTGTCATAAGTATATAAGTTTCTAATTTAGATAGGTACATATCTAAAAATTGTGTCATTTTGACATGTTTATGACTGGAAAAATATTTTGTGTGAACGTTTTCGAGATCACATCTCTAACATCGAGAAAAATTTTACTACTATTTTTATTGTTTTTATTAATATTACACCACATTCATTTATTTTACAATGATAAATAAAATACAAATAATATAGATACATACACACACACAGGATGTCCCACAAAGACCAGACTATAAAATAACTTTTGTTCTAGGGAATATTCTCAAGATATTTTGTTTTAAATTAATTTATACTCATTTGCGCTATTAACACCACGTATTCCGTATTCCTCTTAACTGTTCTACTTTTTTAAATAATTTTATTTAGTTACTTTTAATTTATTACATTTATTATTAAACAAACTTAATTTTAAGATCTGAAACTTATATATATATATATATATATATATATAATACGTAACAAAAGTTTATAGTTCGATTTCAAGTAAAAAGAAAATTTCTGGATTTTAAATTCCCACAAATTGTACTGTTAATATACGTACAGTATCGTTGTAGACAGAGTTGGGCAGTTTTTATTCGAATAACGAATAATAATATAAATATAATTTATTCGAATTAATCTCTTTACTCGACCAAATCTTAGATGATTTATTCGGATAAAATAAATTATTCGACGGGTATTCGGATAGAAAAAAAATATTTAAATAATTATTTAGATGAAAAATTATCCATAATAATGCTCAATTCTGTTTGTAGATAGTACGCGGTAAAGTTTTTACTCTGGTATAACGTTCTATTGAATCAGATACCTTTTTTCAACTCTAATTAAGTAAGAGACCACCTTTTGCTCGATTTTTGGGATCCATAGCAAACGCGGGCATGCCCGAAGTCGTATATGGTTTTTTTTTTTTTGTTACTTCTCCAGAATTCGACGGTACTTGAGTTCAAGGATTTTGCTTGGGTCAATGTTCATGACTGCTTGGGCCTAATCAAAGAACGCGACACGGTCCGGGCTTGGACGTGGGAGGCAGCACTGCAGGGTGAGTTGGTCTGATCTGCCGGCGGTCTCTTCGGCTTTCGGCGTGCCGACAGTTTTCGCTCACGCCTCGCGTACACACGTTGGCCCTTCGCCTCAGTCTGTTCGGTTGGTCGTGTGTCGGTATCGCTCTCGTCTCGTCTTCACGAGGATTTCTTCATCTTACTATATTTTTATTTTCGGTTTTACAACTATTATTTTTTACCGAGTGTTATCCGCGCATCGCCACGGCCAGTACAGGCGGGTTTCTCACCACCGGCGCAAAGTGTGCGCAAACACTAACTGCATACGTATAGACAAAGGTCCACTTAGGTGAGTACTCAGATAACGAAAATGTCTTAAGTACCAACAACGGTACAGTGGGAAAATTTGGGAACGGATTTGCACTTATCCGGCAAAGTATACTAAGCAAAATGATTCCAAGGAGCGGTTAATATAATGAGTCGTATCAATTTGTTTGTTTTTATATTAATTAATTTCGCTGCTTTCGCTTTGATTGACAGCGACGGCGGCGATCGAGCGTTAAATTAAAAATAAAGTCAAGATAGGGTGGTTAATAAGGGCTTGGTTGTTCTGGATCCGCGCAATTATGCGGCACTAACGAAATTAGTTAAAATGTTAAAACTGATTCATAATCGAATCAAAAGTATATTTATATATATGCATTATAGTAATGGGAATTTGAAAATCCGGATTTTCACAAAATAAAACGATATTTAAGCCACTTAAAAATCGTAAAAGTATTAAATATTATTACATTATAAAGCCGTGGATCTAAGCAAAATAGTATTGATGAAAATGTGAAAATAAAACATAACACAAAAAAGATAAATTGTTTATGGATTTCGGACTTTAACGAATCTGAAAGCAATTTATAGTTAACGTTAAGCGTTTTTTTTTTTAAATTTTCATTAGAACAATTTACTTACACAGCTTTATATTGTAATAATATTTACTATTTTTTATACGATTTTTAAGTGGCTTAAATAGCGTTTTATTCCCACATAACTTATATGTATGTATATGTTGAATGTTGTGAACAATTAAAAATATGTAGAAATGCGTTCCTATCTCAACGTTTAAGTTGAAATATGATCATCAACAGTTTTGTCAAACATCCGATTTTAAATTAAAGTCAAGTCAAACCTTAGTAAGTAACCTACCCACCGAGTTTAGAGTCGCACAAGCGTGCTCCGTACAAAATACATTATCTTAGTAACTCTTTTTTTGTCCAGATTTCTCCCTAATAGCATTTAAAAAAAAAAATTTTCCCCTTGTTTTTTATGAATTTTTTTACGTCCGACAGTTGTAATATATTTTCCCTTCGACTCTTGTCTTCTTTTTGTTCTGTGACCACGGAGAGATAAATATATATATTACGAAATGTCCGGGTTAGGTTAAATTAATTAAGAAGAACAACAACAAGCAGAAAGAGGCCAAAAACTTTATCACGTATTTTTGAAACATCGGTTATCTTGTCGGTTACCGGTTAAACGCCTAATGAAATGCATTCGTGTATCGTTATCAAGATAACACAGCCGATGGTATTTCACTCGATATCGATCATTACACTTTTTTGTGAATACAAATAATTGAGATTCGCGAATAATATTGAATTTCGCTATTATCGTACCCGGCAAAACACTTTATAGACCCTCAACATTTTTACCGCTCGGTAGGTATACAACAATAATAATAAGACTATTGCATTGTATTATTAAAAGATAATTAGTATGATATAATGTACATCCGTAATAGTTAAGCATAGTGATTACCGGCACAACGAAACAGAGTATCTAATAAACTTTATACTTTTGGAGATTTTTAGTACTTGATTAGTACTCAGTAATTATTACTAACTGGTGAAATAGTACTTATACAAATGCTAGATTGTGGTCCTAATTACCTTCTATTCGGCCAATAAAAAACAACAATCTTAAACTTCATTTAACAAAAATAAAAACTCAAATCATAGTTAAAAATGTGTTGTTTTTATTTTTAAAATACAATTTTTGAATTTTATAAAAAAAAAACTACTTCTATTGGTTTTTGTTACATAATATAAGTACTTAATAGCCTATTAACCGTGTTTGTTATTTATATAATATGGGTTCTTTGCTTAATTTGTTATGATTTAAAAATAATTGTTTTACTATTTAAATGCCATTCAACATGCTATTTTGCATGATTTTGACATTAGACTACTTAATATATACATTCTATTTGAGTTTTCTATATTGTCCATAATAACCTCTGCAATGGATGTCAACGGTTACTTTCTGAAAATTGTATTTCATTCAAACTTGTGCGTGTGTCGTACAACACACGACAGTGCCATAAATGGAAGTTTCAATGATATTGTTATGACAGTAGCTTACAATTTGATTGATTGTAATTTTATTTATGTAATTGCACTTTACTTTTTTGCCAAAGTATTGCACGTTTCGAATACGAGTCCTGTGTTCTGAACACGTATCATATAATTTTGATAATTAAATATCGAATTTAAATTTCTATGCTGATCTCCAGCTGTTAAAAAACATATCAATATATAGGTAGGTAAGAACATTGAAGTGTTATTTTGCCTATTAATGTTGTGAACAAATTAAAATAACATCATGTTATATAAAAAAAAAAAAATGTAAGAGCAATTTTTAATTACTGTAAGTTATAAATAAAACTAGGTATTCAATTACAACCTAATACTTTATAGTTGATAAACTTATAATTTATTACAGGCAGATTTTGTGCTTCTAATTGTGCGTTCCATGTTCCATTGTGGTTCTGACGAATTCTAATTGAGAAATTAAAGCTGTGAATTCTCCGGACGGTATACATTGTTATGAAGTTAATTTCTCCGAAATGTTTGAAAGTTGTGATATTCATATTTACTTTTGCCATCGCCAATTTTCGGAAAACGTGAAAATAAAATATCTTAAGCCGCCATTGGCAATATTAAAAGTTTGTTGCGTTCTTATTATTTAATACGAGTCGGTTTGTTTTTATTACATACATTTTTAGTGTCTCCCAAATCAAAAAGCACAAACGCAGAACCGTCCAAAAATAATTTGTCCGTTCCCTCAATATAACATTGAAACACTCTTTTTTTTAAAAAAAATTTTTGTTTTTACAAAGATGTTCAGTAAATAATGAAATAAAAAATGACTAGTGTCTGATATTTTTTTTTTAGACGTTTGATCATTCTCTTACGTTCAACAATACATTAAGCAATAACGAAAAACAATCTGAATCTTCCCTTTGATTTATTTGAAAATATCTGCAAGTTTATTTGGAACAAAGTTTTTTTTCAAAACTGTCTCTAGACAAACTTTCTAACCTGTCCCGAGGGGTCGCGAACAACGGTTACTAATTTGTCTTCATAAGAATTTATCAGACTCTTGAAGTAATCGCCAAAAAAAGATATTCTTTTTGATTTTACATACTTAATGATTTATGAACTGTCTTGTCTTATAAAAAAATAAATAAAACGACTGTAATATATTAAAACGGTAGTTTTCGCATTGTAATTCCGAGGCCAAAATCCACCACGAATAGACAATATAAATATTATTCAATACATTTCGACATTATACATTTTAGTTTATTAAATTGTGTTGTTAGCATGCTTAAGTATTGTATCGACATTGCCTAGATGGACTTATCTTGGTGTTACTATTAAATGTATGTCACTGCCATGTTGGCAATTTTTAATCGCCTCTGCGAACGTTGTCGCATGCATCGCGACTAATAGTGCTTATATAATCCGGCAAACGGCTTAACACTAAAAAATTAATCTGTTACTAGTGTATAATATCGAACAAATCAAGTCAAAGCGAATAAAGCATCAAAGGCTGACAAGTACGGGCGTCGACGACTTATTTGTACCGGCGTATAATATAGAACAAACAGCGGGAATAGGAGAACTAAATGAAAGGACAGCAAAGCTTTGGAGGAAATCGTCGGGAACCGACAGTAGCACTTGATAGACGGCTATTAGTTTTACTTTTCCTGCAGTCATCAGTCTGTCTGAGCCGGATTAAAACTGCTTCCAGCCCCCCCTTGTCTATACTAAACCACCCCCGCAGAACCCTTTTTATCCGGCTGCACTACGCTGAAATTAATAATAATTTTCCTAACCCTATTTATATACATATATACACGGCTATACATATAAATATAGTCATATTATAACGGTATAAATATTATTTTTCGAGCCAAATTTCCGGTTGAAGTCAAAAATTCCAGTGCACGCAGCTGCTTTTACCATTAATTAAAAAAAAAAAAACCTTTAATTTTCGCCAAAGACACGTCCGCACGATATGATATAACTGCGGTGTTGTTTGCCAACAAAAACCGCTGTAACTTCTTCATATTATTATTATTATTATTGTTCCACCATACTACTATTAAATATACTTTGTGGCCAGTGGCGCGCATCCGGTTGTAATCGAATTAAAAGCGCGTACGGCCACCGACTTGGTTTTGCTTGTACTTGAATCGGGCATTATGATTTCCAACTCGAGCAAAACGCGTACCAGGTAAAAGCAGTACAGTGTAAAAAAACAGTGTTGTTTTTTGCGGTTTATTTTAATGATTATCTCTTCTCTCATGATAAGTAGATAAAACCAAAAAATATGTTGACTGTGATATGACCCAACGGTTATAAGTTATGACCATGATCATTAAAGTATGTATACGACTTCGGCTAGGCCTACTTCAGGAGATGGTTACCGATAAGATTGCTAAAAGTTTGCCGTTCCACTAATGTGTTTTTAAGTCGTTGTGATTTTGTAATTTTTTTTTTTAGATGAAATAAAACATAATAATCCCTTTATGATAGCTTCTCATAAGATAGCAGCACAGATTTGCATGCTAAATGATGTCAGATCGCCAACTGTTGTCCTTCCGGCAATTACCGGCTTTTAGTTACCAAGAAACTGCTCAATACCCACTTTCAAGATAAACAGGAGGTACCTTTGTTGATAACTGCTTGAAATAAATTAAAAGAGATAAGATGTTTTGGCGAAATTGCAAATATGAAGTTCGATTAGTCTACTCGAGTCTATTTCAGTAATTTAACATAGATTTAACTTTTAAGGGCGCTTTTTCATTCTTTCCGAATTGTTTTTGTTGAATGGTTTATTAGTTTATTTCTGATGAAGATTATTTGGAGACCGTGTATTAAGACGTCAAAAATGAGAATTATGAATTATGAATATTGTTTTGACTTTATTAAAACACTGTTTATAGGTACAATAATATGATAAAGCTGATATCTTAAGTCGGTTGAGCAAACACTCGCTGTAAAATTT